TGGCGGGAGTGACCCAGCCAGCCGCCACCCAGCAGCCTCTTCTCCTTCCTCTCTCTCCCTGCAGCGCTTGTTGCTTTGGGTGTAGGCGGGTGCTGGGGAGAGAGAGAGAGAGAGAGAGAGAGGACGCCTGGTCCTACAGGCTGACTTGGCGAACGCCTTCAATAATGTCGACCGCCACGCCATAGCGTCGGCTCTGAAAGGCTCGAAGCTTGAACCGCTGCTGCCACTGGTACACTTCTCCTACGGCCAGCCGTCCACTCTGCACCTGGACGCGGCCTTCACCCCCGCCCCTGCTCAGCGAGACGGGGGTCCGCCAGGGGGATCCCCTCGGCCCCCTTCTCTTTGCTGCAGCCATGCACCCAGTCCTGAAGGCGGCCGCGGAGGCACATCCGGATGTCATCTGCCTTGCCTACGCGGACGACGTCACCTTCTTGGGAGAACCGTTGTCGTGTGCAGCTGCGTTTACAACTTCACGGGCCGCCTAGCAGAAATCGGGCTGAGACACAACCCTGCAAAGTGCGGGGCATGGTCAGATGGGCCGCCCACGATATACACCTACCTGAAGGAGTTCCCCCAAGCCATGACGGCTTGAAGGTGTTGGGGAGCTACATCGGCACCAACACGGCTACATCAGCCTTTGTGCGGTCCAGTCTGGAGGCAATGGGAGCACCTCTGGGGTTGATTGAGCAGATGGAGCCTCAACTAGCGGGGCTGCTGTTATCTCGGTGCATCTCGCGCCGAGTGTCTTACCTAGCCCGCACGACGCCGCTGCCATCCCTGCCCAAGGAGGAGTGGTTCGAATGGGGAAGGAGGCTGCTGGAAACGCTCCTGACGGCATGCGGCATCAATCACCCGCGCGGGGAGGAAACTTCACGCACGTGGGCGCAAGCCTCTCTCCCCGTGTCGTTGGGAGGGCTCGGGCTGACCGACCCCACCGTGGAAGGAGGCTACAGCTTCCTCGCCAGCTACACGCAGGCGCAGCTGCTGCTTGACTCCCTGGATGGCGAGTGCATCGGCCCATTGGACGCTACACGTGAGCTGATGCGCGGCCCCTACATGCGGTCCTCCCCTTTGACCGAATGGCTAGCAAATTGTGAGGAGGAGCTCCCCTTGCCAGCACAAGAGGCCCTGCAAGCTGAAAGAACAGCTCCAACCGCGGAAAAGCTGCAGCACGGCCTGGCCACGGCTATCCAGAACCAGCGCTATGCCGTGCAGGTGGAGGAGGCGCGGGGGATGAGGCCAAACCCCAACAACGGTCACACGCAGCGGCTGCTGTCCCTGTCAGGGTACGGGGCTGGGGACTGGTTAAACGCCGTGCCCCTCCACTCCTCGCTACGCCTTGAGGCTCCCCACTATGCCAACGCGGTCCAGTTTCGGCTGGGCCTCCCCTTCGCTGCTCCGGGGGTTTGCAACTGCTCAAAGAATGTGAAGATCCCAGATAAACGGCTACCGAACCACCTGCTACGCTGCGGCACAAGGGGGGGGGGGGTGCACAAACACACACAATGAGTTACGAGACGAGTGCGCACGGATGGCGCGTGATGCCGGATTCATGGTACACATAGAAACGGCCGCCTTCAGCCCTGTGGAGGAGAAGAAGGCGGATTTGGCCTTACGATGCCGCTCCACCGGCGCCGTCTACATCTGTGATGTGACGGTGACGGACCCCATCAGCACCCGCGACGAGAATGCATCTAAGGGGCGGGGATGGGCGGCACCAGAAGCTGCAGACAAGAAGCACGGCTTGTACACGGACCGCCCAGAGTGGGTGAAGTTCTTCCCACTAGCGGTCGAGACGTATGGGTGCCCATGCCCAGAGACAGTGGATTTCCTGAAACTGCTCGCGGAAACAGCTGCGAGGCGGTTCTTTAACGCCGAGCCCACCTCCTACCAAGCTGCCAAGCTTCTACACCAATACCGGCAGCGGTGGTCGGTGGCTCTTCAAAGGGGGCAGTCGATTGGCTACCTAGAAAAGTGCAGCATAGCATCTGCCGTAGAATACCCACTGCTAGAGCCAGTGGGGGAGGCCTCGTCCCTAGGGGACTGCCTCTCGGTCCTGGATCCTGCTCTGTACCTAGCTTAAGGGGGGGGGGGGGGGGGTAGAGCCGATGTGTGCGTAGTTTGAGGGATATGCATCAGACATCCGCCCGTTTAGTTTTCACCTTGCATGCCTGTATGACCTTGTATCAATCAATGAAAGGGCCATGAGAGAGAGAGAGAGAGAGAGAGAGAGAGAGAGAGAGAGAGAGAGAGAGAGAGAGAGAGAGAGAGAGAGAGAGAGAGAGAGAGAGAGAGAGAGAGAAGAAAGGGGTCCTTAATGTTTCGAATAGTGAAATGTGAAAGACTACTGTGCATTCCTGGCAGTAGCAAGAACGAGAAATGCAGAAGCGAGTACAAAGGAGAAAGGTTGAAGCAACACGAGGAGTTTCGCACTGTTACGGAGTATCTAGACCGTCAGCATCGGGCAACTGCAGGGGCGAGGATTTTGGCGGGAACAGTTTCGTAACTGTTTGAATGAGACAATGTACTTTTTAGACTATATGGCCAGTCTATGCATTTTCGTATTTCTCACTCTTACCATATTCTTCCGGATTCAAAACCCGAAGGACTTTCCTAAAATAGAGGCAAAATGGCTACGATGAACATTTACTTCGCACGAGTTGTAAGAGTCCCGAGTAAATTTAATAATCAAGTACATTTCTGCAATTTAGGGGTTTGCACTTGAATTTAGGGGGGGGGGGGGGGGGTATTATGTTCAAAAACACCCCGCGTGCGTGAAATTCGCCATCATATGTTGGAGATAGACCACTAGGGTGTGCTGTAAGAGAAGTATTTTATAAGACAGTATGGCATCCATAAAACTTCAGCGAGTGCAGTGATCCTGGGCAACGACGAATAGTAAGAACAACTAGTATCGTGTACTTCCCTCTGGTGGACTCGGATCGGAAGTTCGAGGTTGCGAAGTTTCTTTTCGCGTTTCCGTCACTTTCCCCCTAACCAGACAAAAATGTGCGTCAGCTGGCTTGGTTTGGGACGAGGGCCCCTCCCTGATTTGTTCACTCGCGAAAGCATATCCAGTCACTAGTGTACAGTGCGAAACCCTTACGTCACGCTTTTCAAGCTGCAGCCAGCTGTCGACCAGTGAAATCTTTCAGTTGCACGTGAACGCACGTGAATTTGACTGTCACTCCTTGCGTAGCCGCTCCATCCGAAGCATGCAGCACGCGTCATCATCAACACTAGAAAATCACTCGCACGAGGCGCAAGTTTTAACGACTATGCGGAAACGACAAGCTCGTAATCAAAGAACGCGCTACAGTCAACTTTTGCACAATTGCGGTTTGACGAGTTCAGTTACGTTTGAGATCGGTCAATAGAATGTCTAGAATGGCTCGGTAGGGTACCCAGGGAGAAACAGTGAATAGGTCATGGTGTTTCCGCAGTTCGACGAAGGCCCTTCTTTTTTTGGCCCTGATTAATCGGGAAAACTTCGGACGTACACCTTGTGCACACTGAGACACTGCTGAAATGAAAAAAAAGGACGTGGGCCCAATCGACTTTGATCGCGGCTGATCTGATCGGGTCGGATCGGATCGGGTTTCTTCTGATCGCTTTTCCCGAGCCGCGCGATCAGTTAAGATTTTCCATGGAAATTCTTAGCGCCTGCTTGGCAAACGCCAGACGATAACGTGGCACTTTCGCTCCAAAATTAGCGAGATTGGCGACCAGTCTCTACCATCCGAAATTTGTTGGTTTCCCTGTAACGTCGCAAAACCCTAACAGCCCAAGCCGTGCCGAGACGTATGAGCGAGGGGAAACGAGATCAAGCACAACAGAGTAAACATTTCGCAAGCATCGCCTTGGTCCCGATCACATGCGATCAACTGATCGTCTGTGATCGAGCGAAATCGACTCTGATCGGGGTGAAAATCGGGTCTGATCGCGATCAGCTGATTGCCCCCGATTGCCTAAAATTAGCTTCCCGCCTTCCTCGAAGTTCTTGATCGCGTTTGATCGCGCCGATCAAAGTCGATTGGGGCCAGCCCTCAACTCTCGGCTTGTGCATTAATTATGCGTTGAGTTCCGCATCCAACCGAAGCAAGCTGTTCCTTGAGCAGCTCAGACCCCTTCGCCACCTTGTCAACGCTTGTGATCATCCAGTTCTCACAGAAGGCCTTGACAGCTTGTGCCAGCTGTCAAGCATTCGTCGGTACGGCCTGATTATTTGTGTAGCGATAATGGCTCACTCCATCCACTGCATCAAGCTGTCCATCCTTCCAGGCTAGAGGCTCGAAAGCAACAGCTGTAGATGGGTTTGTTTCAAAGTTACTCAAAATATTGTTCAGCAATCTTGACTAGCGTTTTGCAAGAAATGGGGAACCTGAAGTTGGGGTGAGGGATGTTCTACATTTTGTACGTATGAAAAAAGAAGAAGGATTGTTTATTTTTCCTTTGCATACGAAGGAGTGCGTGCCGCCGCTTTGTCTGTGCAATCATCAACCTCAAAACACTCAGCACGGGCAGGGTTCGCTGACTGGAGCTTGTGTGGATTGCTGCTGACAGCTATCGCTTGGATAAGGGATCTAGGTCGAGGACCCACCCCACACCCACTCATTTTCTTCCACGTGCCTCGCAATCAGCTTTGACTTTTCGCACTTAAAAAGCCTGTCCAGGTGGTTGCCTAAGCAATTTCGGTGCTACTGAACCTTATTCAAGGCTCCAGTCGTTCATCCTCCACTTGTGTATTTTGAGTTCGAAGTTCAAACCCATCAATCAAGAAATGCCTTGTTGGCTGAGACCTGAGAGGAGAGGGTTTTGGACGAGGAAAACTGGAAAAGGGAAAAGGTTGGAAGGGCACCACTGAGGAAGTCCAGGTGTGAAAGGAAGTCCATCTCCATCGCCACGTCATGGGGCACGGGCGGCACGGCTTCATTCGCAAACACTGTCGCAATTTAGGCATTCTACAGTGAATGCACGCGTGCAAAGCGGACAGCTTGCACATGGAAAACGCCAGAATTCACCATCATCGCACAGAGAACCCCACTGTCACCCTTGCCCCACCAACCCTCTGTCCCTCAATCGCAAGCTGGCAAGCCAGATCGGTCCAAGGTTACCACCAGGCCAGCATCAGCCGTGGTGCACCAGGCCGCGTTGTCGAGGCACGCAGGTGCCCAAGTGCGAGTTTTCGAGGGGCTTGGCTGCCGAGCCTGGGCTCCGAGCTGGGGTGTGTGGTGTTCGAACCAGGGGCGATTCGTGAGCAGATTTGGCAGAAGAGCATAAAACACACCGCCATTGGCACTGGATTGCCATTGTTCATCCTCCAGATGCAGTTTGCAGAGCAACACCACCGCAGTGAGCGATTGCGATTTCCGACAGGGACAGGTCACAGGAGGGAGCCAGAACAGCTGAGAGAACGACCCCTACAGCACTAGGCAACGATTTGAGCCACTGGCGCACTGGCGAGAGGAGCGAGCAGGAACAGAGGCCACACGGAGCGATATTTGGCCGCGGGCCGGACAGCAAACTCTCATTCAGTCCGATAGTGTCGGTCGGTAGCCAGCAGAAGTAGGTGCGCTTCCCAACCCAAACATCACTTCCACAGCTCCACACCGTTTTTAGGCTGCATAAAGTTGGGCCATTGCGTATGTGCGATTATCTGGTTTTTTTGTGGCGATAAGCGCTAGATTTTGGCAACGAAGCGAGGTCAGGAAAGCTGACGGGCACGATACAAGCCGAGGCGAGTAGAGAAATCAGCGATATTAACGACAAACTGTTGTTTCCAGCGGAGTGGCGTGGCGTGGCGCGAGCCCTAGTTGCAGTGCAAAATTCTGGTAGTTCAAATCGCAGCGATGGCGGAAGTCGAGCAACAACAACGTCAGCACGAACAACAACTAGAAGAGCACAAGGAAGAGAGCGGCGAGAAGGACGCGGATGTCGTGAAGGGGCCATGGAGTCCCGAGGAGGACGAGCTGCTCATGCAGATAATTGCTAAATACGGGCCGCGCAATTGGTCGCTCATCGCTCAGGGGCTCAAAGGGCGGTCCGGAAAGAGTTGTCGGCTGCGGTGGTGCAATCAACTGAATCCCGAAGTACGTATCATCGCGCTTCGTCGGCGTCGCTTATTTCCTCTTCTTTTTTTCGTTGCCGTACCAACGTACGAATCGCGGCTCGAAATCATCGTCAAAACCGTCGCATCGCGTTATCGACGTTCCTCCCTTCGCGATACCGAGATCATCGCGACGCCACTCACTGAGTTCTTCTGTGATTTCTTTGATCGGTGTTTTCGTGCCTCAGGTCAATAAAAACCCGTTCACGGACGAAGAGGACCGAATAATCGCATTGGGACACGCGGAGCACGGCAACAAATGGTCCGTCATCGCGAAAAGCTTACCCGGTCGCACGGACAACGCGATTAAGAACCACTGGAACTCCACGCTGAAGCGGAAATATCCCGCCATTCTCGCGGAAATAATTAAAAATAGGGTACGTTTCTTTTTTTGCGCGTTATATTGCGTGTTCAAAGGTGTGCTGCTTTTTTGTTGGGACTGTCCTCGTCTGGCGAAATGAATCGGGTGCAACAAATGTGTTGCGAATGAACGTCGTGCGGTTCAATCCTGGTTACCCTGTTCCAACCCAAAAGCCGACCACGGACATTCCCGCCATTTTCTCATCTGCCATTTCTCCCCGCCATTTCCCCCTGCGCCCTGTCCTCCCGCCATGGTTACCCCTTCCCTCCCGCCAGACCGCGCGCGTGATCGATTCTCCGCGCGACGCGCCAATCAGCTCCCCCGGGAGCGACGGTCGAGTTTCCCCTTCTCCCTACTACGCCGGTGTCCCGCTCTACGCTCCAATGTACGCTCCTGGCGGCGGCGGCGGCGCGAACTTTATGTCGCACCGTGAGAGTCCGTCTCCGCTTTCGTCGGGCAGCGCGGGCTGCGGAAGCGCGGCGCACTCGCGGCGGAGCAGCATGGACGGCAACTCCGCAAGCTCCGCCAAAGCGGAAAACGTGCGCATGCTCGCGGACGTGCTCCGCCGCCTCGCGACCGCATCCAGCGGCGGTGCCACCGGCTCCGCGTGCCCTTCTCCTCCGCCTGGCGCCGCGGGCGCCTCGGCGGTTGTCGGTCCTCCTTCCGCCTCCGCCGTTTCAGCCGCGCGCCTAGCGTTTCCGCGCAGCGGTAGCCTCGACTCTCCCGTTTTCCGCCCCTCGCTGCGCGACCAACCCACTCCGCTTGTACCTTCCGCCATGGGGGCGTGCGGGGGAACGTTCGGCGGCGGATGGGGTGGCGGAGCGCCGGCGGCGGCGGAATACGACCTGGAGTATCTTCAGGCCGCGAAACGGCTGCGCTTCGGGGGGGGAAACATAGCATGCGCGGAGCTTGGCGGAGCGTCTGGCGGAATCGGCGGGTTGAGGGGAAGCGCTTTGTTGGGCGGAAGCGGATACAGCAGCGCCGCCAACCTGGGGAGCTTTGGGGGGTCGCTTCTCGGAAACTCCCTGCTTGGGCGCACGTCGAGCGGAGGAGCCGGCGCACTTGGGGGAGGCGCACTCGGGGGAGGGGCACTTGGGGGAAGCGCTTTCGGGGGAGGCGCCTATTGCGGAAGTGGCGAGAACTACCTTTCCACTGGCGCGTTCTCCCCCCTTGGCGGAGGTACGGCGGGGGGGAATTCGGGTTACCGCGGTTCCCCCTCCCCCCATGGCGTCATGCGCTTCCCCTCCAGTGTGCGGAGCTCCATGGGCGGAGGCGATTCCCCCTCCTCCCTTGCCGCCATGGCTGCCGCTGCTGCAGCGGGATTTGCTCCGCCCTTTTCCCCTGCGGGGAACGCCCAGCCTTTCCCCTCACCACACTCCGCCTCTCCCCTCATGCCGCGTTTCCTGACAGGCGATTCCACTGCCCTAGCAGGCGCTTCGGCCTCCGCCTCTGCTGCTGCTGCCTCTGCCTCTACCACTGCCGCCGCTGCTGCTACCGCTGCTGCTACTGCCGCTGCCGCTGCGGCTACTGCAAGAAACTTTCCGGGGCTTGGTAGTTTCGCTGGGCTGAACAGCACGGGGCTGGGCACGTGCAGCAATGCTCTCGGTGTGTTTCCGTCCAATCTCCAGTCACCCTCTGGATCCTCCTCCTCTCCTCTCCTCCGGGAAACCCTGAAAGAGAGTATGCGGGAGAGTATTCTTTCCAATCCTCACCAGCAGCACAAGGCAGGAGCAGCAGCAGGAGCAGCAGCTGAGCCCGCACCCCTGCGTCGTTCGTCTACCTCGCCTCGCAAACGCTTCCTCTCCAACGATCCGACGCTCCCCAACAGCTCACCTGCAATGCCCGTCGATCCAACGGTCGGCATCGATGGGACGGCGGCGCGAGCCAATCGGACGGCCCAGGGCATGTCCCTGCTGGGCCAGCGAAATCTGACCATTGATCTCTCGGTTCTCGACAATCTTGCGGCTCACATGCCTCTGCACCCCTTGCAGGCGCTACAGCCGGTGGAGCCAATGTCAAATCCCTCTTCTGCAGTCGCTGCCGCTGCTACAGCTGCTACAACCGCTGTTGGTGATTCCGGGATGTTAGGGGAGCTTGGAGGGGAGATAGACCAGGAAATGCTTGATCCAGCTTTGCGCCACGCTTCAGTTGAAGCCCTAGCTCAGATTCTCGCAGGGGATATTCAGTCAGGTTCCAGTGCAGGTTTCACTTCAGATTACAGCGGGAATCTGAATGCGGGTTTTGGTGCTGCGGATGCATTGCTGCCGGCGACTGCTGGTGCTGAGGAGGCTGCTAAGGGTTCTGATCTGGATTGCTTGCTCAACGGTCAGTTTCAGCAGCAACTGCAGCAGCTGCAGCAGTTACGGCAACTGCAGTTGTTGCAGCAGCAGCAACAGGAGCATATGCAGCAGGAGGGTTTGGGTGAGGAGGAAGGTTCTGGGTCACTTCTGAGCTTCCTTGCTGCTGATTGGCCGCAGCTTAAAGAGGCAGTGGCAGCAGGAGCTAGAGCACTGAATGCTGCAGATATGCCCAGCTCCAGCAAATAGTAATATTTTATTCATTTTTATTATAAAGGGAGCTGGTTTCCATCACAAGTGGTTATATTATTTATAGAAGTGTGCAGTTAGTTGAATATGCTGTAATGCCATGCCATCAAGGGCAATTTTGTTGGTTGGCAATTTTGTTGGTTGGTGCAGTTTCTCCTTGTACAGAGCAAGCCTGAGTGTGTTTCAAAAGCGTCTGCTAAAATAAAACAGGTCTGGAACACAAAAACTACGGCACTGTTACCCTCACCCAAAATCAACTGCGTATGCTACCTTCCCTAACACCCCTCCCTCAAATTCCCCTCAACGGTGATAATGTTGAAAAATCTCTCCTGTTACCTCTCCTCTCCTCCTGCCCCATCTGCTTCTGTTCCTGCTTCCCCCCCCTGCTTCAGCCCCAGCTACAGCACCTGCAGCTCCCCCACTGCCCCACCCCCTCCGCTCCCCCCTTTGGAAAAAGCCACCTTTCCGTTCTCCGCTTTCGTCTCACAGCTCCTCTCCCCCACCCCACCACACCACACTCCACTCCTCTCTGCCAACCCTTTTATGGTGCTCCCAGAAACATCAACGGCTGTTGAGTGCCCATTCCTCCTGCTGCTGCCCCTGCTGCTCCTGTTGCCTTTCCACTCTCCGCTTTCACCTTACTTCTCCCCCCACCCCTCCACCTCCACTCCATCATACCCCCTTATGGTGCTCCTAGAAACATCAACGGCTGTTGAGCGCCCGTCTCCCCCACCACACTCCTCTCCCCCCACCACACTCCTCTCCACCCACCACACTCCTCTCCACCCTTATGGTGCTCCTAGAAACATCAACCGCTGTTGAGTGCCCGTCCCCCCTGCTGCTGCTCCTGCTGCTCCTGCTTCATCCTCCCGCTCCTGCTTCCCCTCCCCCTACATCTCCCGCTGCTCCTGTTCCACTGCTCCCCCCTCCGCTATCCCCCCTGGCAGCAGCGACCTTTCGGCCAATCAGAGCGCGCCTCGTCGCCACCAAGGCGTCCAGCTCCTCCTGGAGATCCCCAGAATTCGCCTCTGTTGCCCCACCTGAACCACCTGAGTTTTCACCTGAGCTTTTGCGCTTCTGCAGGGCAGATACAGCCTCGATTCGGGCCCCAACAACCACCTCTGCCTCAGAAACCTCATCCCCCTTGCGCCCGCTCCCCCCTTCATCATCAGTAGCCATGAAAACAGCACCAGTAGCAGCAGCATCACCACCATCACCACCAGCAGCAGCGGCAGCAGTAGCAGCCGCAGCAGCAGCAGCAGCAGCAGCAGCAGTACCAACAGTCATGGCAGGAGCTAGGTCCTGCAGCAGTCGCAGTACTGCCAGCCTCACATCCCCGTCTTGGGACCCAACCACTCCCGTCTGTAGCAACGAGGCGAGCAGCCCCGAGGAGAGAGCGAGCGGGCGGTCTGAGGGGAACTGCTGCAGGAAGTAGAGCGTGAGATGCAGGGCTTTAAGTAGGAGCTTGGTGGCGCTGCTGGTGGCGATATCGGTGCTGCTGGTGGTGGTGCTTGTGGTGGGTTGGGCGGCGGAGGAGATTAAGGAGGTAAGTCCTTTGATGCCGACGACGGCTCGAAGGGACGCCAAGCCTTCTGGGTTATGGCGCACCAAGGCTGGTGTGGGAGGGGAGGAGAAAGGACAGGGAAGGACAAGAGGAGAAAGATGGGAGGGTGAGTGGAGGAAATAAAGGAGGTAAGTCCTGTGATGCCAACAACGGCTCGAAGGGACGCCAGGCCTTCTGGGTTATGGCGGACCAAGGCTGGTGGGGGGAGGGGAGGAGGGTGGTGGGGAAGGGGAGGAGAACGGACAAGAGGAGAAAGATGGGAGGGTGAGTGGGGGAGATTAAGGAGGTAAGTCCTTCGATGCCGATGATGGCTCGAAGGGACGCCAGGCCTTCTGGGTTATGGCGCACCAAAGCTGGTGGGGGAGGGAGGAGGGTGGTGGGGAAGGGGAGGAGAAGAGGAGAAAGATGGGAGGGTGAGTGGGGGAAACTAGGGAGGTAAGTCCTTTGATGCCGACGATGGCTCGAAGGGACGCCAGGCCTTCTGGGTTTTGGCACACCAAGGCTGGTGGGAAAGAGAGGAGGGTGTTGGGGGAGGGGAGGAGAAGTGGAGAAAGGAGGAGAAGAAGAGAAGGAAGGGTACATGGAAGCGATTAAGGGACGCAAGGCCTTTTGGATTATGGCGCACCAAGGCTGGTGGGAAGGTGGGGCGGAGAAAAGAAGTGGAGAGGAGGGGGAGGGGGAGTGAGTGGAGGGGGAAACGGGGAGAAACGTGGGGTGTGGGGGGGGAAACGGGGGAGCGTTGGGAGAAACAGGCGGGCGTTAAATCCGAACGGGTGTTGGAAGTAGGGAGGCATTGGGGGAAACAGGGGTGCACGAAGGGATCCGGGGTTGTGAAGAGAAATCGGAGCGAAAAAAGGGGAAGCATGATTGAACAACTTCTGAGGCGCCTCAAAACACGATTTTAGAGGTGCTAAAAAAATCGGAGTGAAACAAGGGGAAGCAGGCTTGAACAACTTTCTCTACCTCACTCCCCCCACCCTACCCCCCAATACCCCCCAACCCCCCCATACCCCCAACCCCCCAATACCCTCCAGCCCACCCATACCCCCAACCCCCCACAACACACCCATACTACTCACATGAAATCGCCCCCACGGCTTTGGTCCTGGCAGTGACGTCAGCATCGTGCAGAATCATATCCATGAGGGTGAGATGCCCGCCCGCCTCCATCACGTTGCGCTGGCTCTTTTCGTTGTTTTGTGATTACACTGGTTGATTACCCAACCCATTCTCACCTGTCCATGCATCAACTTCACACCCCACCAGCCCTCCCCCCTGCCCCCTCTCCCTCTCCCTCCCCCCCTCTCCCCCCCCTCCCCTCCTCACTTACATGAAATCGCCCCCACAGCCTTGGTCCTGGCAGTGACGTCAGCATCGTGCAGAATCATATCCATGAGGGTGAGATGGCCGCCCGCCTCCATCACGTTGCGCTGGCTCGTTTCGTTGTTTTGCACCATCGTGGTTACCACCTCCGCTGCCCGCGCGCGCAGGATGGCATGGGGGGACTTGAGGAAGCGCAGCAGCGGCTCCAAACCTCCTATGGCCTTGAGGTCTGGCAGGCGGAGGGAGGGAGGGAGGGAGGGAGGGAGGGAGGGAGGGAGGGAGGGAGGGAGGGAGGGAGGGAGAAAGGCACTTATAGGTCTGCTGCCCGCGCGCGCAGGATGGCACGGGGGGACTTGAGGAAGCGCAGCAGCGGCTCCAAGCCTCCTATGGCCTTGAGGTCTGGCAGGCGGGAGGGAGGGAAGGAGAGGGAGAACGGCACACTGAGGTCTGCTGCCCACGCGCGGAGGATTGCACGGAGAAGGACTTGAGGAAACGCAGCAGCGTCTCTCGCCGCTGGTGGGAGGACTTGAGGACTTGAGGTCTTGCGGGGGGAGATGAATCATGAAACGGGGAAGGAAGGTGGCAGGACAAGGAATTAAGGAAAAGAAAGGGATGATAGAAATGACGCGCTAGCTCCTGCAGGGAGGACGGCACGGCAGTCGGATAGGACGAACAAACCAGAGATGTGTAAAGGTGAGCGTTTCTCAGGCAAAGACGAACATCAATGCAAAAGCCCTCCTCACCTCACCATTGGCCATGTCGACGACGCCACGTGCTCCTGCAGCAGGTCTTCGCCAACAGCCCTGCCCTCCCCGCCTTCGTAGCCAATGCAGCAACATTCACATGCTCTCACCATTGGCCATGTCAATGGATTCAACGTGCTCCTGCAGCTCCTCCAGCATGCCCGCCATTTCATTCACCGTGACTCCTTGTGCCAGCAGCCCCTCCTCATTGACGCACATAAGCATGCTGATCTCACATCTACACTTGACCCCCACGCCCTTACAGGTGATACACACACAATCTCACCATTGGCCATGTCAATTGATTCAACGTGTTCCTGCTGCTCCTCCAGCATGCCCGCCATCTCGTCAACAGTCACTCCCTGAGCTGAGCCAGCAGCCCCGCTCCACCTTCATTGCCAACGCAATACACAATCCACACCCCACTCACCATTCGCCATGTCAATCGATTCAACATGCTCCTGAAGTTCTTCCAGCATGCCCGCCATCTCGTCAACGGTCACGCCCTGCGCCAGCAGCCCCTCCTCAGTGACGGCCATGACCATGCTGATCTCACACTTACCACGAGCACACTCACTCACCATTCGCCATGTCAATCGATTCCACATGCTCCTGAAGTTCTTCCAGCATGCCCGCCATTTCTTCAACGGTCACGCCCTGTGATAGGAGCCCCTCCTCAGTGACGGCCATGACCATGCTGATCTCCTTCATCCGCTGCACTATGTCCACCACTGCTGCCTGCATTGCTTGATTGAACCACTGCCGCTCCTCCTCGCTGCAAGGCAGAGAGAGCAAGGGAAAGAGAAGGAGCAGAGAAAAGAGGAGAGAATGAGAACCACCCTCCCCTCCTCAGTGACGGCCATGACCATGCTGATCTCCTTCATCCTCTGCACTATGTCCACCACTGCCGCTTGCATCGCCTGGTTGAACCACTGCCGCTCCTCCTCGCTGCAAGGAAAGGCAAGAGGAAAGAGGAAAAGACGAGCGGATGAGTCACACCTCCCCCCCCTCCCCCATTCTGATCTCGTTTATCCTCACTTGAATCAAGTGGTTCTCACGTGATCTGACGGGCGGGGCCCGTGCCATCAGAATGGGCAAGGCTCCACTCGAGATTGCCACCGAGCCCCTAATTATAGATTTAAGGTGCCTAAAAAACCACTCACGTGATCTGTCGCGCGGGCCCCGTGCCATCGGAGTGAGCGAGGCTCCACTTGAGAATGCCCTCGAGATTGCTGCCCGGGCCCAAATTAGTCGACATGCTGCCCGAACGCTGCCCGAATGCTGCCCGAATGCTGCGCGAATGCTGCCCGGATGCTGCCCGGATGCTGTGCGGATGCTGCGCGGCGAATGCTGCCCGGATGCTGCGCGGATGCTGCGCGGATGCTGCCCCGATGCTGCGCGGATGCTGTCCAAACCCTTCCCAAACGACGGCGACGCTCTCGACCGCGCGAGGATGCGCGCTGCTATTCAACGCGACGCGAACAATTCGATCGGAGCTGTCTCGTAACGCGCGTGACGAGCGTGACGGGCGTAGTAAGCCTCGATAGCAAACAACGAAGCGACTCGGAGCGGAAGCGCGCGTGACGACAGAATCCGCGGGAGCACGAGCGCGAGAGCGAGAGCGAGCGCGTTAAACGGGGATTCAAAACGCACGGGACGTCAAATTGTGAAAGACGTGTGAGCGAGGAGGTGGACTCTCCTCGGGCAAATAATGGGAAGATCGAGGCACGAATACTATCAAGATTCGACTGCTCCGTTGGATATGCAAATGCAGCGCTCGAATGAGTAGGATGCAGCATTTGGAGATGCGTGTAATGGGGGACGACAAACCGAACCCGAGAGGGCTATGAGTATGGGAGCAGAATAAGGGCGTGTAAAACTTTCTGTTTGAATTCGTCCGGACAAGGCCAGTCCGGACGATTTTGTGGTTACTAAAGTCGTTTGAACTCGTCAGATAAATCGTCAGAATTTGAACGACGTCGCCTGCGTCGCGTTGCGTCCGCACGACGTTGTTTGCGTCGTAAAGAAACCGTGCGACGTCGTTAGATTCGCAAGCGTCCAGACGTACGTCGCACAATGTCCGGACGTTTTTGCTGTTTGAAACACGCCCTAACTCTAGCGACGTGGAGAATATTCGTGATGCTGGTGGGAGAACATTCTCGAGTCGAGAGGGTCCATGTCAACTGAAAAAGAAGCTTCTGGTACTCGACAATAAATGTATTCTTTAAAATGTTCACAAAACAAATGTTCGAGCGTTTATGCCGGAGTGGTTAACGGGACAGACTCGAAATCTGTTGGGCTCTGCCCGCGCAGGTTCGAATCCTGCTGAGCACGCGGCTCTTTTGTCTCTACAAAGT